TTAGGGTTCAGGTTAGCTAGCAATGTAAAAGCATCGAAGCCGCATCCAGCAAAACTGGAGGATATTTGACGTCAATATTCACGGTCTGAGGTGGTGGAAAGTTTCCCGCTCGCTGAGTCCGTCTGGGTGGCCGGGAACTCATTCACCCTCCAGTTCTGTATTGGTTGCGTCAGTATCCTACCCAAAACCTAGATGGCAGCTTCCATTTGCTTTCCCAGTCTGTAAACAGCCCCTATATAATCCCTAGCTAGTCTTCAACACCAGAAGAAGGAAGCATTGCACGAGCCAGAGGATTGAGGAACCTGGACGTAAAGCTTCAGAAGCAGAGATGCTGCACCCACAATGCATTTACAATCAGGTCAGCTCAGATTGGAGCAGGGGCCTCGGGTTGCAAGCAACCTGAACCTCTGCGTCATGTTCGCAGTCGTTTGCTTGGCAGCGCGAGTCATCGAGGGGCTTGTGCTTTTATAGCCCTTGATCTGCTGCTACTGGCTTTAGCAATGAGGTTGGTAGTTCCCGGGGGCGGTTAATTTTAATCAGCTGCTGCTGCTGTTGCCAGTGTGGCTGTGCTGGTGATTGCATCTCTGCAGTAGGCAATCGCTGTGACTGCCAGAGCTGGTAGAAGGATGCACAGCATCAGAGCCTCCCGTCGCGAAGGCGAATGTCATGCTGGATGCGGTGATACCATCCAAACCAGAAGCTGGCAGCCTAGTTTCTGCTTGCAGGATGCCAGAGAGCTCAGAACGGGTGGCCGTGTGATGCTCAAGAGTTTTGCAGCAGGCGTTTGCATCATGGATATGACTGCTTGTGGGCAACATGCGTCCCCTGCAAGAGAGGATGCGAAGGCAGCTAACATTCCTGACCCAATCCTGAAGAAACACGGTGTTTCAATGGCAGTGGTGAGGTTTGTCCTGCACAACTGGCAATCCTTTTGCCTGTAACGCATCAGGCGCACCACTGCAGTTGGTGATTGGTAGGAGTGTTATGAGGGGGGGAGTTGGACTGCTGCATCCTGCAGCCGAAAATCAAATGTGTCAGAGGTCTGCTGCACTGCACTTCTGTTTCTGCTTGATTTGCCAAGTCAAACAGAAGACAGCGCGCACTGTTGGCTAACAGGTGCGAAGCCTGCTGCCGAGCAGGTCTGCCAGGACTGCTATCAACTGGCTGTGTTGAATCTTCCAACATGCTCACTTGCGGAGTAATGTTGGGTTCGTTATAACAACCCCCGCCCCCCGATCCTCCCGGACCAATCTCGAAACAAAGGTTCCGGAAATTGGGGGTGGTAATAAAGAGACTGGGGCCTGAGCTCTCTTGGAGTAGTTGATGTCTGGGGAACTTTATTGTTACCACTCGTTCATAAAATGCAACCCGCTGACCGCCCAATATGCAAACAGGGTATATCAAGCAAATCGTAGGTTCGCAATGAACATTAAGCAGTCATCCTTAATGTCAGGCTTTTCCCTGGCCAGGAGAATTTTGTTCTTACCTGCGTTTTCTTATAACTAAGAAGCTTCAAGGGCCTTCTCCAAGGGATTGCAGTGAGGCTTTACGAAAGGCCTCCAAACTCCCCCAGCCACCAGTGGAACCTGTACGTCAAACCAGAAACGATGTCGAGCTGAATCTTGTGTACTGGAACTCGTCATTGGCATCCTGTGCTCTCATGTGCAGCAGATAACAATGGTGATGGGGCGTCGGTTTTGCACTAAGCTGTTTCTTTTTCTTACTCTTGAGATTCGGAAGGGGCTTCATGCCCGCTTCCTGAATCATACAGAAGCACAGAGACTGCCACCCAGAACTTCGACAGCTGTCCCTTCGACTGGGCCTGCCCTGTCGGGGGTCGCGGCAGTGATCTGGCCTGGGTCCGAGCTGCTCAGATGTAGAGTCTTAGATTGCTCCCATGTGGGTCAAGAAAGTGATTCCGTCAGCTTCGCTGAGAAGGTTGGTTCAAAGTATTGTAATGGTTTCCAAAGAGAATTAGCTAGCGACAAATTGAAGTGTGAGCCCACAAGCTCAATTAGCTCAGGCCTGTGGAGTTCAGCTCCTCCTGCTTGCAGGCCGGTGATTCAACTTAGACTCTAGGTCCCTAGATTGACTTAGGGCAACACAGACCTAGGATGACCCTAGGGTTGAGTAGATGCTGTGGCATTGACCCAGGGGCTGAGGATGAATTCGGCCCACACACGTGGCCAGGTATGATACTCCTGGGCTTGCTCGTTCTGTGGTGCTGTTGCTGTGCCGCATACAGCACGGAGCCTAGCTGTGAGGGTTCACATCATCCCTGCTTGGTTATTGCCGTTAACTCGCTGTTGTGGTCAGCAACTTTCTGACCGCCCCAGGCTTTGCTCGCAAGTACAGGCTCGGGCAGACTTCCTGCCTTGTCTAACCGACAATTCCTCTGCGAGGGTTGGGAAGACTCTACATTGACAAGTAGTTACGTCCTAGTTGATTCACGAAGCGGAACCTGCACAAGAGCTCATGCCGCACTCTACGCCACTCGAAAGAGCCGTGAAGCCCCCTTCTTAAGCAATTCAGCCTTCCTGGCTCTGGGACTGAACTGTGGATGCAGTATTCTCCACAAGCCAATGCTCGCACTTTGTCTTCGAAGCTTCCCTAGACAACGTCTCCGAAATGCTAGGCTAGGGGACACTCATGCACGCCAATGTCGGATGCACATCATCACAAAGAATTTCCTGATGCACAGCAGGCCATCTGCTGGTGTCATGAAGCTGATGACCTCCAGCGGCGAGCACATGAAGGCTAGAGAGGGGTTTGGGGCTCAAGGAGCGAGATACAACCCCAAAAGAGTGACTGGGGAGTTTTGAAGATAGGCGTCCAAGACCAGGGATGAATTTGAGGCTCGATTTTGCAGATGTGGCTCCTGCATGAATTCTCGCTTCGGACTCGTGTGAGATGTTTACTTCGGGTTTCAGACCAACATGAGGGAACGGCCTGGAAGGGCTTCACCATCTGGCCCCAGGGTAGTTGCCACATGACGTGTGATATGTCCAGCGTTGGTCATTCAAATGTGCTTCTGGAAGGCTTCCAGATAGATTAGAGTTGGTGCTGGCCACAGAGCTGGCTTTGCCATGCTTACGCGGAGCTGCAGCTCTCGGTCAGGGCACGCGTAGGGTAGACGGAGTTGCACTTTTGACAATGTGCTTGTTTCACCGTGACGCGCGCCCTGCACGGCAATGTCCCGATTCTTGAAGTCAGTGCTTGATTCTTGCAAGCTGCTGGCGCGGCAGGTGAACTTCTACATTGTTGACGAAAGTTGGAGCCTCAGCGATTCCCAATCCAGTTTCGCAGAAACCCTTCCAAGCCATGTCTTGGGGTCCAAGATCTCATGAGTTGCCATGATAACTAATCAAGCACAGCACTGTGCTCAGCACACCGAAAGCTCTTGGCCCAGCTGGATTTGTAGTTTCTCCCCAAGTAGGGAGAAAAAGTTAAAACCAAAAGGGTGAACAACTACTTTCATGGATAACGCTGGCTTGTAAGATGTCAGGATTTTTTGGGGGGTTCCTAAAATGATCTTTCCTTACATTGAGGCTGTAGAAGAGATGTTTCTGGAAGTTCTCGTGTTGTATTCGGCAAGGCCCCAAAGCTCAGATGACATGCAGCCACCTGCCCTCTGTACTCATGGGTTCCGGTAGTACCCTCCTCTATACTACCACCCCTAGGTTCCCCCCTTAATTAAACTTAATTAGGCCGAATTATCCTTACATAACCTTAATTAAGGGGGGACCCTAGGCGGGGTAGTATAGAGGGGGGTACTACTTGAACCCATATGTACTGACAACACCAGATCCCAGGCGAGCCACGTGTTGACAAAGCAACGACCGTTCAGTCAAAGGACTCCGGTCGAAGTGGCTCAGGGTAGGTAGTCTTTGCAAATTGAAGTGTTCGCGCTGGGTGGTTGCGAACCTGGCAGCTTCTCGAAATCACCCCTAGAATCCTTCATGAAAACTCATACTTAATGACTTCTATTACAAGCCCCCTGTACTTCAAGGATCCCCAAGATCCCCTGAGATTTTGAAAAAACACGACTTTAAGATTCTACTATATCAGAGCCGGCCTTTGGTTTGGATCGTTGGTGTTTTGGGTGTGTTTTTTTTTTGAAATCAGGGGTCCCGCGTGGAAAGTGCTTGTATTCAGGTTTGTAGTACTTGCGGGTGCACCGCGCTGGCGCCCTGTTTGGAAGTATTCAGTAGAACAGGATGAGCAGTGAAAACTGTGCTTTTCAAGGCACAGCAATAGAAGCAACGAAGATTCCTGGCGACAGCAAATTCAAAGAGAGACAAACATACCCAACCCCTTGTCTTAGGCCATTGTTCCCGGCAAGGAGGTGTCACAGAAAACGTTTTTCTAGGGGACTGCACGCATGCTATTCATTCTCTGCAACCTTGACGCCACCGCTTATTGGGAGGATTCGGGCCGCGTCAGTCAAGACTAGCGGTGCTCCAATGAAATAGTCTCAACGCCCACATCGTGTCGACTACCTAAAAAGAATCAGCTCTCTTTTTGATGTTTTTTGTTTGCCAGAACAGATGCAGGCAACATTCAGCTTGCGCTTGATATTGGTGTGCAGCAGTTTCAGGAACTATGGTCTTACGAAGAAAGTCTAGTGGTCAATGCATCAGGATTTCGCGGCCAGGTGCTTTCTTTTTACAACTGGCAGTCAGTAGATCGGCCAAAGGTCCGTCAGTAAGACCCGTTCGATATTTGTTGTCAGGGGGTGCGGGTCTTATTCTTGGGGGGGGATCTCAGGGTTGAGTTTGTGGTAACAGTCTCTTCAGCACGACTCAGATTCATCAGATCTTTGTAAGAACTTGAGCGAAGGTAGGCTGCTATGAGATGACCTGCGCTGTGATAGATTCATTGTTTTTGACAACCCTTGATTGAATGCCCCACCTTGCGTAGAACGTATATGTGGCAAGGGGTCTACATGGCTTTGTGCTTCTTTTTTCCTTCTGTGTAGGGTTCTTCAACCCTTTGAAGCCATGTTGGATGTTCGTATCGTGGAAGATACTAAGGGGGGCTCCTTGAACATACCATGCAGCCCTCACAGATGTGATTACCATCTTTCACCCAGTCCGCTAGCTGATCATGTACAACCCCCAGGCACCGAACTAGCCACATCTAAACCCAAGGCCCTGTGTCACCAGCCTTTTGACTGGCTGCAGGATACATCATCATTTGGAGGTCTGTTGAGGAGAGGCTTCTCAAAGGCCAGCTCAGCAGATGGTGGTGCGAAGTGCCATGTGGCCCTGGGCTCAGCCTGTGCGCTCAACCAAATCCTCACGGCGAAAAATGGTCCAATCATACCAGATCAAGTCTTTGAGGTTAGGGGTTAAGGGTTTAGGGTAGGGGGTTATGGAGCATGAGGGCGAAGGACGCACCCATGTGCGCCCTTGTCGTCTCTATCACACATCGTCCCTAAACTCCATAACCCTAATATTACCCTAATATAACCCTATAACCCCAATGTAACCCTAATATAACCCAATACCCCAATATCACCCTAATATTATCCAAATATAATTCAATACTCCAATATAACCCCAAAACAACCCTCATATTACGCTAATAAAACCCAATACCCCAATATAAGCCTAATATAACCCCAATACCCCAATATAGCTCCAAAATATTACCCTAATATAGCCCAATACCCCAAAATAACCCGAATACAATCCAATATCTTAATCTTACACAAAAATAAGCCAATACCCCAATATAACCCTAATATAACCTCAATATAAACCCAATATAACCCTTGTATAGCCCCAATATAATCTCAATATAGCCCTAATACAACCCTAATATAGCCCTAATATAGCCCAATACCCCAATATAGCTCTAATATAACCCAATACCCCAATATGGGCCCCAATATAGCCCCAATATACCCCTAATATAACCCCAATCTAACCCCAATATCACCCCAATATAATCCCAATAGAAGCCCAATATACCCCAATATAACCCTAATATAACCCTAATATAACCCTAATATAACCCCAATACCCCAATAGAACCCTAATATAACCCCGATATAACCCTAATATTACCCTAATATAACCCCAATACCCCAATAGAACCCTAATATAACCCCGATATAACCCCAATATTACCCTAATATAACCCAATACCCCAGTCTTTTAAGATTACCCTACTATAACCCAATACCTCCAATATAACCCCAACATAACCCCAATATAAACCCCAATATAACCCCAACATAACCCCAATAGAGCCCCCTAGTATGACCCCAATATAACCCCAATATAACCCCAATAGAACCCTAATAGAACCCCAATATAGCCCTAATATAGCCATAATATAACCCTAATATAACCCAAGGTCTGGGATCTGGACCTGGAACAGGCTGCGCGGTCGAGCTCCTGGCATCTCATGTGAGCTGTAGTAAAAAACTCCTGGAACCCCCCGCTTAGTACCCCTATAATACTCTCCTATAGTATTTCTTATGATAAGGGATAGGGGAGTATTATGATATATACACCTTTTAAGAAAACACAGCTTCATTGCTGAAATCCGAAGTCGAACCTAGCCGCTTTTTCACCGGCGGTCATAGACTTACTGCTTCTAAGTAGGGAATAACGAATATAATCCCCCTGCATCACCCCCATATAATATATTCCCTACTAAGAACCAGTAAGTATATGGTGAAGTTTTAACAAAAGCAAATCTTCGACTGGACGTACAGGAACAAACTGGTAGGTTCAATACGACTTCGATATTTATGTGAAGCTTGCTCACGGCCTGGGCCGAGGATGGAGTTCCAGGAGAGGCAGATGCAAACGATAGGAGGCCGGAAAGGGCAAACTTGCATAGCATCAGATGGCCTCAATCTGCCCGAGGCAGTTGCTAGGTCTTGAGCTGCTGGAGAGGACTTCAGTTGAAGCCGTAGAAGCACGTGGGTCACCTACAGCTTAGCACAAACAAGACGGGGGAACCTGTCCAAGGGCCCCAAACGCATGAGAGCTTTAGATGTTCCAGCCAGCCGCAGAATGTCTTTTTTCTCAGCTCAGGGGCCAGCGCGGAGCAGAAACAAATCATGCAGCCGCCGTCCGAGTTCCGGGCATCTGGCATCGGCACTGCAGATGCTAGAATGCTTGTGTCCTTGAAGCTGAGAAGAACTCAGGCGCCTGCCTGAAGCGCTGGATATGAAACAGCAGGCTCTACAGGGCTGCAGTGTTTTGTCACTTGGCGCTTTGCTGCGTTCAGTGCCCAAGCCAGTGTCATGAGGGCTGTGCTGCTTCAGGATGAGTACAAGACCAAGCAGCTCCTGCGCGAACAGGAAGAGGACAGCACGATCACGAAATATACAACGCTAGATTCAAACATGTGAGGCAAATCTTGTAAACCTCCACCCCGAAAAGCAGGCAATCGACAGCTGGAATGCTAATACCAAGAATAATAGCAATAACAACAATATTAATCACAACATTGCTATTACTCTTATCATGAATATTATTATCACCGTTATCCTTTTTTTTCTTATTATCAAAAATACAAAAGCAAGCACAGGGTGGTTTTTAACTTGCACACGAAGCCACTGAGTTGCTGTTGAGGAACGTAAAGTAAGTTACAATAATCGGTATGTAGGGTATATAGGGTCTAGGGTTTAGCGTTACCATAATGTGTATATATATATAGTAATTAATATGGTTCCAGGCAATATAGTAACTTTGATTTGAGTTCCTTAGCAGCAATCCAGGGCTGCTGCGATGAAGCTTCTGAGCAGTTTACTTACCTTTGGTAACCTAGGAATGAAGGAATGGATCCTGATAGTAGTCTCTATATAACCCATTATACTAGTTTCCATTTTCTTTTCCTTTCCTTCATTCCCAGCTAACCAATGGCCAGTTTACCCTGAGCTCAGTGGAGCAATCGATATGCCCAGTCATTCCTTTAATTTGAGCATCGAGTCTATCTACTTCGAAAGCCCAGTGCACGGTGGACTTTCCTTGGCGCTGCGTATTGTTTGGAAATTTCACGTTGGTGATTCTTGGCTCTGTTTTGTCATTTGCCGAAGATAGGACTGCGTACCTATCGAAACTTTCACTTCTCAAGTCACTCGGCCCGACCCCAACTTATCGGTGAGCAGTCCGGCAGGCATCCTTAGAGCATTCCCCAGTGTAAACCCCACAAACATAGCAGTTCCCGTTTCCTTTTCGTTTTCTATGTTCCCAAGTAACCAGCCGTTATCAACTCTGCCAGGAAGCTCTGCGCAGAGCGGAGAGGGAGCGAGCTGATGAACACAAGGTGCAGGGATTTGGTAGATTCCATCTTTAGGGGGTTCCCAATATAGACCCCAAGATACTCTGAGGATCATAGCCCAAGAAGCTACACCTAATCTTGGGAAGGTACCATTTTGTGGTGACACCACGGGCTTGCGATGACAACTTTTGGGTATCAAGGTCGAGCGCGCAACTGATTGGCTCGTGCTGGACATACTTGGATTTACGGTATCTTTGCGGTTTTATGATGATCGCAAGGAATGCCAGCGGTTGTGGTGGTAAACTCGCTCCTCCACCTTCGTCATCGCCTATGGCGGTTATTGCGCTATTGGTTAAAATGTGTGCCCGATATCAAAAGTAGAGCCTGTCGCAGAGGTGGTGATACTGAGCAGTGGCACCGAACTTTCCATCATGGAAGTAGTACTTCATGTCATATTGGTCCTGCAGTCGTGCTAGTGAGACAACTTGGAAGATCAGAAGAGGAGAGCCGTCCGAGCAAGAGAGCTTGAGCTGCAGCCTTGCAAACCTGGCAGGAGTCCGTGACCATCCAGAAGGCAGTGTCTATCAGAAGCGGAATCTCCACCTCACAGATTGAGGCTGCGCTGGGCCGCGTTCTCGGCAAAAAGTTGCTGCATTCCAGGCTTTTTGGCAGCACTTGCGTACTACTGAGGCATCGGAACCTACATGAAGCAGGATCGCTTGGCTGCCCAGATTTTTCTGCAATGTCTATAAAGTTTTGTGTGGAACAGCAAATTGTGGGGGCCGCTTCTTCGCAAATTTTGCAAACTTTCAGGCCAGATTGATCTGCATTCCTTCTAAGGAGTGGAGTATTGGTCAGCCACTCACTGCAAGCGCCAAACTCGGGGCCAGTCTTGTCCAGATCGTTACCATGCATTGCGGAGTGTCTCACACCAGCCAATCCCGTGTCCCCTCTGATCCTGCAGCCCTTCGAGTGCTGAGGTGGGTGCCTGCAGTGATCGAAAGCCAGACATATGATGCCGGCCTGAGCCTCGGGTAAAGGGCCCATTTGGCCCATTTCCATATTTAGTCACATCATACCACAGCAGGCAACATGCGGTTCCGAGCTGCAGGAACGCAATCCATTTGCTACGACATAAAACTGGCAGGGAGCTCGCAGCAGCACCGGCTCTCCTTGCAAGGGGCCAGCAACCATAGTTTTGCTGTTTGAGATTCTTTGTGCCAGGAAGAGGCTCTGCGTTCCCTTGGCATATCTGCGAGCGCAGATTCTGGTCGGCGAGTGCCTGCCTGATTCAGCCAAGCAGATGCGTGGACATGCTCGTGCAAGAGTTACAAGTACAATCAGACAGATCTTGCTTCAATAGTAGTCCTTGAGGCCTTGAGTAGCAGCAGCGGAGTTGGCTTGCAGCTGTTCCAGTAGCAGATAGCTGAAAGAGGCAGTCTTCAGTAGGCCTGGTGTTGGGTGAAGTTCAGTTGGGGATGGCAAGGACCCTTAGGGACAATGCGTCTCCGGCTGCTCTGTGCGTTGGACAGTTGAGAGCATTGCATGGTCACTTTGAAGCAGGACGAGGCTGAGTGGGAGCTGATTTCCCAGGGCAGAAGCTTTAAAAGAACCAAAGCGCTGGTTGGAGCCGCCTGGAATGCGAAGGCCGGTCACAGCCTGGTCCACGAAGGACTCCCGTTGGCTGCATCCTCAGGTGTGTCCTTTGGGCTTGATTGTCCGCCTTTACTCCAAGATGGCTAAATACCTGAAAGCTTGGAAGACGGAACTTTTTGAAGCCATTTTGTCCTGAGAGTCATGCACGAGCCCATCCACACTAGCCTTGCCTGCGTCACAGACGAAGGCAGCAAAACCTGTGCAACTCCTTCAGCAGTTCCCCAAAGACAGTGTCTGCCGAGCAACCCTCGGAAGCCCTTCCCCGAGAAGGTTATTATACATTGACATATATATATATATTCATTCATGTTATATGTATTTATATGTATTGTGGTTGAAATGTTGTTATTGTTATTCTTGTGGCTACTACTGTTTTCTTATCATGGTTGTATATATATACATATGCGCCTTTGTTCTTATTACTGTTGGCATCTATCTCGCAAGCCGACCCTCGCTTGAGGCATCTCGCTGAGATGGCTCAGCCGGTGTGGCTCCTATATCCGCAGTCACAGTCAGACGCATATTCAAGTAAATAAAGGCTGGGGTAGGATCAGCACAGGATGCGCTCCTTTTCGTAGGCTCTCGTACACCCGTAGTTGTTAGGTTTTGGCCTTTTCACTGAAAGCAAGAGCTTGAGCATACACGCCGAGATGTGTTGCTGACATGCGTCCTAGAAGAGGAAGCCGCGTGACGTGCCCTGCGACTGAATGTAAGCTCTGGACATAAAAAGGTACCTCTCGACACCAGGAGGGAAGATTCAAGAAGCTGGTGTCGCTCGAATTCTGAATTCAGCCATAAGATGTTATGTCTGAGATCAGAGGTGACCTTGGTGGCCTACAGGGTCAAGACGCTGACTGGACGGCAGGACGTCCCTTCACCTTGTCTTCACCTTGCCTCCTTGCTGATGGTAGCATGCTTATTACTATTATTACTATTCTTATTACTATTATTATTACTACTGTTATTAGGGAGTGACGGAAGTGTACGTGCGTTTGCTCGGCACGAGACGGAAACGGGGGAGGTCTTTTCAGTATCATGTATTTGGCACCCGGAGAGTCCTGCTTCCAACCGCGAGACTGTATGATTGCAGTTTCATGTTGCTTGCCGCAGCTTCGACTTGCTGTGTGGAAGGGCAGTTGAAGGCATAAACGTCACTGTGCATGTCTTGACTGGAGTAGATGTCTGTTTGAGGATCCAATCTTTGACAACTTGGTGGCACGCTACGTTTGGTCCATGCCTCGCAGTTTCTGGTGAAGCTTTCACATGCTTTCTGGGGTGAAACTTCTCGCAGATGAAATGGGAGTGGCATCAGACTTTCAGTACAGAGGTTCATGGCTAAGTATCACTGTCAGAATTCCAATGCTTCTATGAGAGGTGGGAGTCTGAATGCAACTTCTGATTTTTGCCCATGAGCTTGTTGTACAAGAATAGGGTGCCGGTACCATGACATGTTTTTCTTAGCACGACAGGTTGTTTCGATGGGGGGGGAGCAGCCGGGAGTTCACATTTGGGGGTTTTGATCCCTTGAAAGTCCAAAAAGGGTGCTCCCAAGCGATCTGGGCTCTGACGGGGGAGCATCTGGCAGTACGCATTTTTTGGGAGTTTGGGCCTTCGAAAGTCCCAACATGCATATTCCCAAGCCGTCTCCCTAAAGTGGGGGGGAGTATCTGCGTGCTGCTGTGGTATATTGCTTGCCGTAGTGAGCAAATGTCTTGCTATGGCGAGCATGTCTGTTTTGTTATTGTGGTTACCACGCCCCTCACAAGTAAATAAGACTCCCATGGCACGAGATTTTCAGCAAAAGCAGATTTGCCCTTTACATAACCCCTGTGTAATCCCAGTTTCCATTTCATTGTCCATGTTCTTTGCCGTTTGATTTTCTATCCTTGGGTTAATAGTGGCAATTATCTAGGCGCCTGGAATCGGGGTCTTTACCTCTGGAGCTTTTGAAGCTCGGCTGCAGGGCACTGTCCTCCTTTGAGCCATCCAATGAATGAAGCCATGTTGTTCTTCCCGAATCCTTCAGGCGCTGCTTCGAGGAGGGAATGGCCGTGGAAGTCTACAAAAATCCAACTGTAGGCCAGGAGAAGATGTCGTGAAGATTTGGTGCAGCCACTGAGTAGAAGTATGTAGGTGTGATGAGCGTTGTTCTGTCTGCAGGCTGGCTTCCTGCGATAGTCAAA